GAGGCCGTCTATGGGTTTGGACAGTAGGACCGACCATGGGTCTAGGTCTATACTTTTCTTCAAAACGTCAGTTAGTAGTTTCTGGATGCGCTTCCAGTATTTGTGTAGTTCTGGGCATTCCCACCACATGTGCACAAGGGTACCTCTACCTCCGCAGCCCTTCCAACATGTGTCTGTCGTGGTTTTCCCCATTCTGTGTAGCTGCACAGGTGTAGTGTACCATCTCATGAGCATTTTATATGATTGCTCCTGTTGCAGCACGCAGATTGAGGTTTTAGCTGTCGCCTCCCAAATGTCCACCCAGTCCTCTCCCTCCAGCGTACCCCCCAGGTCCGTCTCCCATTGGCCAATGTAACGTGGGTCGTTAGCATTTTTAAGTGGGGCACTGAGTTGTGTGTAGATAGTGGTTATTAAGCCCTTCGGTATGGTTTCGGCGTTACATAATTGTTCGTAGAACGTCATGGGGGTGTGGGCTGCTTTTCTGACCTCAGGGATTTTGGCGAAGTCTCGTAATTGGATATGGCGAAATACATCTTTCGTGGTCAGGGGCGCTAAGGTTTTGAGGCTATCAAACGTTCGGAAGGAATTCCCCTCATACATATGGCCATACCTCTGCATTCCAGTACTCTCTATGCCCCTAAAGTCTCGTGCGCTCAGCCCGGGTTCGAATGCTTTATTCCTCAGATATGGGGTTAGTGGTGAGGGTGTGTGTTTGAGTGCGTATTTGGTGGCCGTGTTGTCCCAAATTCGTATGGAGTTCAGGATTGCCGGGCAGGTTGTCCGAAGGGCGGGTCTGTCTTGTCTGGGCACCCATATCCAGAACTGTGGGAGATCGGTGCTCATTAATTTCGTTTCCAGGTCGACCCATCGATGTGAGCCGTCTGGTGCGTGCCAAGCCACCATTTGGGCTAATTGAGCCGCTAAGTAGTATTGATACAAATTCGGGAGTCCTAATCCTCCCTTTGACTTCGGTCGGTATAACACTTGACTAGCTATTCTATGTCGTTTCTGTGCCCATATAAAGTTATCTATATGTCTTTGTAGCGTCGTTAGGTCATGTTTAGTGACTTTGATCGGCAGAGCTTGGAAGAGGAACAGCAGACGAGGTAGCAGTGTCATTTTTATCGCATGTAATCTCCCTATCCATGAGATTGGCTTGTCTTGCCATTTTTCTAAATCCCGGCATAGTGTTTGTAATGTAGGTGTGTAATTAGCGTCGTACAGTCTGTCTGGTTCTGCAGTTAGTTTGATCCCTAAATATTTGATGTCAGATTTTGTAAAGTTGAGGGAGTGGTTGGCTTTTATGGCGTTGATCTCCGCCGCTTCCATTTCCAGTGGCATGGCTACTGATTTTTCTAGATTAATTTTATAACCTGATACCCGTCCGTAGTCCTCGAGAAGGTCGAGGAGGCATGGCAGGGAACCTCGGGGGTTGGTGAGTGTGACCATGATGTCGTCTGCATACGCCGAGACCTTGTATTCCTCCCCTCCTGCCCTAATACCCGTTATGTTCCTATCTTCCCTGATCCTCAGTAGGAGAGGCTCCAGTGCTAGGACAAACAACAGGGGGGAGAGGGGGCAGCCCTGTCTGGTGCCGTTTGTAGTCTTAAATGGGGTCGGAGCTGTCCCCAGCACCGCCGTTTGGGCTTGTGGTTCTGTGTACAGGGCTTTTATTCCCTGTATGAATGTTTCTGGCATACGCAGGTGTCCCAATAGTGAGAAGAGGTAGTGCCACTGGACCCTATCGAACGCCTTCTCCGCATCCAAGGATAGGATCAGAGAAGGCGTCCGAGTCCTCACCGCCCACCAAATGACATCCGCCCCCCTCCTGGTGTTTTCGTATAATTGGCGAGATGGTACGAAGCCGACCTGGTCTGGATGGACTATTGTGCCCAGGAGGGGATTAAGACGTGTGGCAAGAATTTTTGCAAACACCTTAACATCAAAATTAATCAACGAGATAGGCCTGTAGTTCCCGGCCTCCGTAGGGTCTTTACCCGGTTTAGGGATGAGTGTGATGTCTGCCGTAAGTGTTTCTGGGTTAGGATGTCCCCCGTCCATCCATTCCATGTATACCTTCACCAACCTTGGGGTCAATATGTCTCTGTGGAGTTTATAGTAGGAACCATCGTAGCCATCCGGGCCCGGTGCCTTGTTCCCTTTGAGTGCCGTGATTGCCCTATCTACCTCGTCTCCCTCTATCGGGGCTCCCAGAGTCAGAATGGCTTCTGGCGTCAAGTTCTTCATATGGGTATTGGATACATAGTCCGCAACCGTTCGTTTATATGTCTCGTTGTTGCTATTTAGCTCTGGGGAATGGTTATAGATGTTTGCTAGGAGCTCCGAGAATATTTGATTAATGTCCTTGGGGTTATGTGTTATCTGTCCCGACTTGTCCTTAATCGCCGTTATGGCCTTAAAATGTTGTTTGGGGTTTAGGGCCCTGGCTAGGAGTGTGTCCATCTTATTAGCGCGTTCGTAAAAAAGGCGTTTTTTACGGACTAGGTCCTTCCCTAGGTCTTCTATCGCCAAGGTCCGGATTGAGTGCCGAAGTGCCCGAAGGTCATGCAGACCCTGCGTCGAAGGGGTTTGTTTGTGTTTGGCTTCTGCCCTCCGTAGTGCCTTTTGAAGCTCGAAGAGGGTTTCCGCCTTCTGTTTTTTCCGCCGAGTCGCTAGTTTGATAAGGGTGCCCCGGATGACTGCCTTGTGGGCGGCCCAAATTGTGGTTTGGGACACCTCCGGCCTGTCGTTTTCGCTAAAGTAGGTTGTTAGTTCGTCCTGGATGAGCTTTGTTACCTCGGGGTCTTTTATGAGTGTGCTATTCAATCTCCATTTCCACGGTGGCCTGGGCCCTGGGAGTCGTAGAGTAAGCTCTATATCAGCGTGGTCCGACCACGTGATGATGTTGATTTGTGCAGATTGGATCCATGGGATCCCTCTCTGGTTGACCAGAAATATGTCAATACGGGAGTATGTGGAGTGTGCCGCCGAGAAGAATGTATAGTCTCTTTGTCCCGGGTGCCGCAACCTCCAGGGGTCTAGCAGTTTCGTTTTTTGTATGAACTGGGCTAGTAGTTTATCTTGTCCTCCGGCCCTAGATGCCCTTTGGCCCCCTGTCGGTGTACTACGATCGACCGGTGGGTTGGGAGTTGCGTTCATGTCGCCTCCTAGCACTAGTATTCCGTATGGCAGTGCGTGTATCATGTTGTGGAGGTTATCCCAGAAGTCTGGGTCTTGGTTGTTAGGTGCGTAGATGTTTATCAGATGGTATGTGGTGGTGTATACCGTCCCCGTGAGGATGATGTACCGACCCATCGTGTCAACTTGTGTCGATTGAGTGACAAAGGGGCATTTTTTATGCAGGAGTATTTCTACTCCGTTTTTCTTCACCAGTGCCCTGGAGGAGTATGCTCTGGTGTAGAGGTGGTCAGTTAGCTGAATCCGGGCTGAGCGCAATATATGCGATTCCTGTATGAAGGCTATATCCGTCTTTTGTCGTTTTAGTTCTCTCATTAATAGTCGCCGCTTGGTCGGAGTGTTAAGGCCGTTAACGTTTAGGGAGGTTAGTTTAAGCGTAGCCATGGTCTGCCCAGATCCTGCCCGGTATGCGGGCGTTGGGGTCTGGTTTGTCCGCCGCACGCCCCAACGGGGTGCGATGCGTGAGGGGCCGTAAGCGAGGGGGAGTTATCACTCTAAGACTCGCTAGGCAACGGGGGTGGGGGAGGGGATCCTCCTTGGGGAGGTTTGGGGGGTTAAGGAAGCGGGGGAGGGGGTGTGGCTGTCCCCGGGGTGGGGGGACGAGTACACTTGGCGCCCGCGGCGTCTGCAAAGGTCCTTGGGTTGTGGAAGGCCTGTGTGGTGGGGGGGGGGGCTGCGGGATGTGGTGGGGGTTCTCCCCGGTCTTAGTCGCGCCGGGTGTATCGGGGGGTGGTTATCCGCGGGTACTTTGTGTAGCGCGGAGGGGACAATCAATCGCCGAGCACCCTGACGCCGATCCGAGTGAAAGTTTCTATGTACATATACGTCAGTTCCCAATGAGGTTGAGGGGTTTGTGTGTCATCTCATGTCTAGTCACATGTGTACAGAGGTAACCGCATTATAAAATACATGCAACCAAAATCTTACATTGGATAATCACAGATGTGCAACATTGAAGAGATAGAACATAGAGGCTGTGCCCTTCATTCCCGCCCTTTATCCTTTTCTATATAAGTTGGAAACTAGAGCAGAGGCAAGAGGGAAGAGCGGGGGGGAAGCATAATACCGTAGAGAGAGAGAAAAAGCGGAGGGGGGGGGGAGGGAGAGGAGTGCCCACTTGCGTTTCAGGTAGTGTCAGCGATGTTCCAATCTCCCGGTACGCTGCCTAGTGGCTTGGGGTTGCTCTGTGGGTCACAGTCCCTTTCCCTGGTAATCACCGGTACTGTCCTGGTTATAAAGGGTCTTTGGTGCAATTAGTCCGTAATACTGCGTTGAGTATTCTTTCGATCCGGTGTTACGCTCCATCACGGTGTGGTAGATCCGTTTTCTACCTGTTCCGTCGTCTCCAGTTCAGGAGTCCAGTCGAGGTGTGCGTGTGTGGGTCTTTTTTTTTTTTTGTTTTGTTTTTTGTTTTTTTCATTTAAGGTTTTTGGAGGGGTCATTATATTCTCTCCTCTTTTTGTTCTAATTATGGGGCAGGTAATTTAAATTTTTATTTTTTATTTTTTATTATTATAATAATTTTTTTTTTTTTCCCTCTCTTTTCCCTTTTCAGGGATGTTCATTAGCCCTGTTGGCATCTGTGTTATCTCTTTTCCTTCCTTCCTTCTTTTTAATGGTTGTCGTCTATTAATTGGTGTTTAGTCTCTGTATCAGCGTTTGTCTGTATCGTTGTTGTCTTCCTCAGCGTCTTCTGTGACTTGGGTTGCGACTTATATTTTAGGGCTGTTTGAGGGAAGGACTTGGGTGGTCTAGGTCCGAGTTGAGGAGTGTCATTTGAAGGGGAGGCCTCGGAGGGCCCCTCAGTGTACACCGCCGTCCTGCGCTGCTTCTTCTCTGGGTAAGTGGCCCAGTGCTTGAGTGCCTCTGTGGGGTAGGCTAAAATCTTCTGGGACTTCAATACCCAGGTTGCGGAGGAAAGTTTTAGGGTCTGCTGAAGGCAGGAGTACGTCCGGTCTCGGTCCGTTAAAAACGAGCATTTTGAAGGGATGGCCCCATGCGAAGTTGAGGCCCTTGGCCCTGACAAAGTCGGCAATGGGTTTCCATTCCCTTCTCCTGGCTAGTGTGGCGGGTGCAATATCCTGATACAGGTGTAATGTGGAGCCGTCCAGCGAGTAAGTGTGGTGGCGGGCACTTTTTATAATGGCTTCCTTGGTTGAGAAGAAGTGCCACCGCATTATGACATCTCTGGGGGGACTGTCAGGGGGGCCTCTTGCTCTTAGTGCCCTGTGTGCCCTGTCTATAGTCCACAGGTGCTCAGGTATGGCTGGTAGTTGCTCTTTAAATAGCCCCAATAGCACCTTCTGTATGTCTGCATCTTTAATTCTTTCCGGTAGGCCTTTTATCCTAAGATTATTTCTGCGGGACCTATTTGAGGCATCTTCAATTTCAGCCTCTAGTTCTGCCACCCTAGTGATGAGGTGGTTGGTGGTGGAGGCTGCTTCATTGTGTGCAGCCACCACGTGGTCCATCCTCCATTCCAGGGCCTCCGTGCGTTGCCCCACTGTCTGTATCTCCTCCTTCACCTCCCACGCAGATCTCTCTATTTCCCCCGCTAGGTAGTGTCTTACCTCTGCGAGAGATCGTAGAATTTCCGCATTGGATGTCTGTGGAGGTTGGTGCCCGTGCTCTCCGGTGCTTGGGGAGTCAGGGGAGCCCGCGCTCATCTGGCCGCCGCCATCTTTGATAACATGCGGTCTAGGCGTTGTGAGGAGGTCGGCCACGGATAGGGTCCCGTCCTTCGTTTTTTTGCCAGTTTTTTTGCCAGTTTTTTTGTGCGTCGCCATATCCCGGTGTTTCCCTCCTATGGTGAGTGGCTGTTGGGAACGTCGGCAGGGATGTTTGTGGTTATTGCTTGGCGTTTTGGATCGGGCAGGGTGCAGCCATTACGCTCGGCAGCCAGGCCACGCCCCCCCTCTTCCCCCCTTTTTTAAAGACCACCTTCTCACTCAATCATGTGATCTATCCCATTTACAAGGAATAATACAATCATTCTCTGCTCATTTTAAAGTCAATTCCATTCATCGCAACTTAGAAAATATATTCGACAATGGGAAAATATCTAATATTTTATTAAACCACTTAACCACTTTCTAGACTCCTGATTTCGATTCAGTAAGAGAAACACTACAGTATTTTTATATAAACTGATGTATATCAATAAACAGTGACTTTTTCTTTTATCTGTCACATCCCGAAATGTTGTTGATGCCAAAAACCTACTGAATTCCCTCTGGGATGCTCCTTTGAGAGGTTGTTGATTTACAATGAGTTTAAGTTATTAACCCAATGATGACAGGCATTTCTTGATATTGTGACAGAGCAGACACATATCGTTGGTCTTGAGGATGATACTTTGGTGGTTCAGATATACTTAGCCTAGAAGCAGTTGGGTCCTATGGTCACATATTTGAGTTGATCTTTGTTGAGTCAATGCTTTAACAAAGAGTCCTCTTTGTTGCTTCTGTCAATGGGGTTGATATAGCTGCAAAGAGAGACATAACTTTATTCAGCTGATTAGCCAGATCTAGTTTCACCTAAACTAAACCATAGGTCTAGCGATTACTCTGATAACTGATAACTCAGCCTATGTCAACTTGACCCAAAATTAACTCTTAGAAAGAAGAGATACAGTTATGGTTACACAGGTTACAGCAAAAAGAACTTGTCAGCATTGATGTTAACCTTCTAATAATATTAAGTATCAATGATCAGGAATACTGAAGGAGTACCACTTGGTCTGAATACGGTGTTCTTGCATATATCCAGATTCTGGGATAATAATGAATATTAGATAGACCAATAACAAAGCTTTACTCTACACACAGCAGCTCCCATTCACTGATATCACATTTCCTATTCTATACGAAGCATTTCATCAACCCAGAGAATAAACAAAATATATCACTACCGAAGAAAGACTGCTTTGTTTCATTAAACAATAGTATCTTTTTTTTTTACTAGCACCTACTTGTTTAGTGTTCTTGTGCTAAAAGTTAGTCTTGATAAATAAAACAGTTATCAATTATGCAGGCTAAAAGTTTCTGTATCTCAAAAAAATAATAGACGAACCTTTATTTAAGGTGATGTGTTTTACCCTTTAAAGGGACACTCCACACACCTAAAGCACGTTATCTTGCAGAAGTGCATGTATGAAGTGTGTCCTCCTTTTTCAAAATTTACAAAAATGCATAATTAAATGTATGCTTATTTTCATTGTTTGTATATCTATTAAATTGCTACAACAATTACATTTTTTTTCTTTCATTGACGTGTTCCTTTAAGTGCAGGATGAAAGGGATAGGAATTCCAGCATTATCTGAGGTTTTGCTAGTGGGTTCCTATGGTCAGATTACCACTCACGTTACCTGGTTTCTAAGTAATGATAATCTTCCAAATGTTTTATAGTTGCTGAATTAAGACATAGTCAATGAGCAGGGATGGATTAACATAGGGGCTGATGGAGCTGAAGCTCCAGGCACATGCCATGGAAAAGGTCCATTGATAAAAAACCAAATACTTTTTTCTTTACTACTTTTTACATGTCCTTGCCTTGTGCAGAGGGAATTAAGTATGGCAATTCAAGATGGATGTATGGGAACACTGCTTGTGTAGACTGGCTGACAATAATTAGTTAAGGTAAAGCTGAATGCAAAATGTACAAATGCTCTTGCTACTTCAGTCTCTCTAACACTGTGTCATGTTTATTCTACATTCTTACATCAATCTTCCCTCTGTCCCAGACTGCATGCCAGAATCTCCTGGCTGCTTGTAAGAAGGTTAGGAGAGGACTGGACAAGTGAGCGCTGTGGGATAGTCCTCAGAAAGCGTAGAACTAATGCATCATTAGACGCATTTGTGCCAAGATCAGGGCACTGAGTTTAAGTTATTAACCCAATGATGACAGGCGTTGGGCACATTTCTTGATATTGTGACAGACCAGACACATATAATTGGTCTTGAGGATGATATATTGGTGGTTCAGATATACTTAGCCTTGAAGCAGTTGGGCACTTTGATCACATTTTTTAGTTGATCTTTGTTGAGACAATGCTTTAACGAAGAGTCCTCTTTGTTGCTTCTGTCATCTTAGTGCCCAGCCCGCATGATTGGTGAGCAGTCTGACATGCATTCACTCCAGGCTGACCTTCCAATTCTTGGGCACCTTTTAATTTTTTTTCATAAATTAATTTTTAAAGTCATTTTTGAAAATTGAACAAGTAGTGAAAAGCTAAATTTCAAAGAGTTTGTATTACTTAAACAGGAACTGCAACTACCCATTATCTTTTATATTATGTTTATGTATCTCTCATATTTAGGAAATATGTGCTTATGAGATCTGTCGAATAATATTAAATGTTGATATCCACACTTTTGTATTTACCTATTTCCTGCCACAGAGTGCCTCCATCTTGGCTGCTGGCTAATCATTGTTATAAATGTTGCCCTTTTCTGCCCTTAAAAATAGTGGAAGAGAAGACACAGAAAAGTTCAGAAGATTGAACAGTCGTGTTCTGAAAAGTGGTGAAAATTTGTAAAATAGAAGGAATCAGCAATGGAATATGTCTGCTAGTTCCACTGGTTTCCATGGTAATTACTCCACTTTTAGTACATTGCACAGTTTTCCCAAAACATAACACTTTGATAAATTTACCCCCAATGTTTCTGTTCCCTTCATTTGTATTGTGTGCCTTGGCTGTGCCATGGCTGAACTGGTTTGTAATGCCACTTGAAAATCTTCAACATACATTTAAAAGGAAACAAAGTATCACATGAAACATGATTAACACCAGCTATAGGTGATTATCAATGTTTTATTCAGTGGTATAATTTCCAGAGAAGTTACAGCAAGTAGTTTATGACTGAGAAGAGCATGATGTCACGGTGTACCACTGTGGTAGAGTGGATTAGTGGGTAAATACTCAACCACAGAGATTCAGTAAGGACAAAAAAATAAAGGCTAAGTTGTACTTTATATGGGTAACACTATCACGGCTATTCATGAAGGTAGGATTTATCAGGAATAATGCAAAGTACATTGAAAGGCACATTTTAATTGTTATTCAAAATATCTATAATTTTAGATTAGCTCTTTTAGCCCCAAAAAATCAAATTCCCCTTGAATTCACTTGGAATTCCCAAGTATTCACAAATTAGTGAATTATCCTGCAAGAATTGTCAGACATTATATAAATATCTATATATAATTGTCATGTTTGGAAAGCCCAATAAACTGATTAAAGAGACAGTCACCAGAATACATATAGCTCAATGTAGTTTTTCTGTTGTATAAAGTATGTCCCTTCAGTAGTGATGTCCCGAACGGTTCGCGAATGGTTTGCGAACGGTTCGCCGCGGACTCATCATTGAGTAAACTTTGACCCTGTACCTCACAGTCAGCAGACACATTCCAGCCAATCAGCAGCAGACCCTCCCTCCCAGACTCTCCCACCTCCTGGACAGCTCACTAAGAATGCAGCTTCACAATAAATGTAAAATGGATGCTGTCCAGGAGGTGGTAGGGTCTGGGAGGAAGGGTCTGCTGCTGATTGGCTGGAATGTGTCTGCTGACTGTGAGGTACAGGGTAAAAGTTTACTCAATGATGAGTCCACGGCGAACCGTTCGGCGAACCGTTCGGGACATCACTACCCTTCAGGCATTTTAATGTAAACACTGCCTTTTCAGAGAAATTGCAGTGTTTACATTGCTGCCTAGGGACAACTCTAGTGGCAGTCACTCAGACGGCCATTAGAGGTGCTTCCTGGGTCAGTGCTGCATGATGTTTAGACCTTTTTAACCAGAGGTAAGGGGGTCGGAGGACAAAATTACACATTTGTATTCCTGACACTATAGTGTTCCTATATAGTTTAAACTATGGGCATGACATACATGAGAATATGCTAGCAATATATCTATCTATCTCTAAGACACCATATCAGCAAATTTGAATTCCAGAGTATAATTTATAGCTCAGTAAAATCACTGTTAAAATAAAATATATGTAATTAGGCGACATGTCTCAAGAAGGAGAGGTAAAATTCCATTTAACCATACAGCTGAAAATATTGCTTTTCTGCAGGAATGGCAATGTCTACATTGCAGGGTTAACATACAAAATTTACTGCACATGTTCTCTTTTTTCCATAGAAAATTCTTAAAGGGACACCCCAGTCCACTAAAGCACTTTCTCTTGCTACAATGCTTTATGATTGAAAAGTGTGTCCTCTTTTTTTCATTTTACAAAAAGGGCAGATTTCAATAGAAAATCCAACTTTTATATATAAATCCTTTTACACCCCCCGCCCCAACTGTCAATAAGACAACTGGTCTTCGTACTTCCTGGTTGTTTAGCTCAGTGGAGCTAAACTCGAGAAACAGCAATTGTCCAGAGCACTTCTTATTAAGCAACATTGGAAAGTCTGTGATTGGACAGCCACAAAAAGTCTGGCCGGTGTTAGAAAGTGGTGGGCTTAAAAAGGTTGCAGACAATAAATCTGCAACTTTTGCAAGCTGCTTGTAGTTATACCAATGAAAAAATGCATAAATAAATGCTTACATGTTTTCATTGGGGGGGTTGGTATATCAAAAGTGTAAATTTTTATTGAAAAACCCCAAATGTTTGTAAAATGAAAAAAAGAGGATACATTCTTTGCACATAAAGCACTTCAGCAAGATAAATTGCTTTTAGTGTGGGGAGTGTCCCTTTATATAAGTTGCAAGTTTTTTTGCCAACATCTATTTTGATATTCTTTTGGCGGATCATTTGTTAAACAATACACCTTACTG